TGTTGTTGTTTGAGATGTTGATTTTGGTTTGCGGGGGTGGCCGGCGATGGCCGGTAGTGGTCGACAATAACATGTCAAAGGGTGGGTAAGTGTTTTTTGGGTTTTGGGGTTGGGGTAGTGGGCGGTGACTGAGATGAGGAAGAAGAAGATTTTTTATTTTTATTTATTTTATTTTCTCTCTTTTTTTTTTTATTGTTTTTAGCTTGATTTGATTTTTAAAAGGTTTAATATGTGATTCACATAAATGCCCTTACCACATTTGGTCAAAATCATTTTTTTGGTCACCTAACAGTCACTTGGATGGTTTCCATCCATTTGGACTCTATATGCATATTTATGAAAGGTTAGGGACCTTTGTTGGCACAAACTGAATGTTAGGGTACAGTTTGTAAAAATTGAAAAGGTTAGGGACCGCTGTTGCAATTTTCCCTATATTCAAAATAAATAGCAAAACTATTTTGATTCATTACCAAATCAAATCAATAGGTGGACATAATGAGATTGCATGCACTAAGCATTCGTATTCTAAGAATGGAAATCACAAATTGAATTTGTTATTATAACATAATATAATATGCACATAAATACACAAGGAAAAAAAAAATAGTCTTAAAATTGTTGGTGAATATGCTAATTATATTTTGAAATATTAAACAAAACAAAGCCACTTACTTGGAATGGAAAAACGATGCAGAAATGAAGAACGAAACAAATAAATTGTGAATCGAGGTTAATGTTTAACACAGTCTTTAAGACGAATTTTTCCAGCCAAGTGCTTACGGAATCTTGGCAATCATCTCCCAAAATAAAAGAGTTTCTCCTTATTGTAGAAGCACTTCAAACGACGATGAACAACAAACTCTTACTTTGAATGAGATTTTATGCAATAAAAAATTTAATTATGGTATGAATTACACCATTAAATGAGCCCAATTTATAGAGGTTGTGACTAGTGAGACATGTTCCAAAATTCAGCAAGTTTCATGAAGAGACACAGCTTCAGACTACTTGTCAACTACTCGTCGTACTGCTCGAGCAAAAATTTCAATAACTTGGCTGCTTGTAGCTTGCAAGGCGACCGCTCGAGTAGTTGTGTCATATGGCCATTTTTCCCTTTTTTGAACTTGACTTTGGACATCAATTTTCCATTCACTCGAAATTGGTTTTGTAGATCCAAATATACGACAATCGTTTACTCGATGAGTAGAACATGTTAGTCTATTCATATGCGCAAATTGACTATCAAAACCTATCCGAATACTTGGTTGAAGTTGATACAAAATCAACGTTTTATAAACCTAATTCCAAC